GTTTAGGTGAGAGATGTAGACGTCAATATTACTTGCCTTCTTATCACAAAGGTTTAGGTGAGAGATGTAGACGTCAATATTACTTGCCTTCTTATCACAAAGGTTTAGGTGAGAGATGTAGACGTCAATATTACTTGCCTTCTTATCACAAAGGTTAAGGTGAGAGATGTAGACATCAATATTATTTGCCTTAACACACTAATGTCCTGTTTTAATTATAGGTTTCTCAAAAATTCAATGTTATTTTTCTAAAAAAATAAAATCCAATATAGATTTCTAGAAAAAAATCCAGTTATAATTGCTCTATACTTGAGTATTTTTGTGAATTTTATGATCTTTTTTTTTTTTTTAACACAGAAAATGCACTATACACAGGTAATTTTTTTGTGAAGAGTTTAAATATCATCCATTTTTGGTAACCAGTTGCACTATACACAGGTAAATCTTTTCTGTAGTGGTTAAAATTCATACCCCAAAATTCAGGGATTGCATTGCAGTTGGCTTATACAGAAGTATATACAGTATAAGTTTCTAAAAAGTTCAATATTACATAGATTTCTAAAAAAAAAAAAAAAAAAAATTCAGTATTAATTGTAAGTTTCTACCTATAGGCCATTAGTAATCACTATCACAAAAAAATGGGGCAGTGGTTTAAAATCTTTGGTAAAAAAAAGTTAATTTTTATTTATGCGGGGTGTCCCAGAATTAACTATTTCAATGAAATCGGGCAACTTTTTAAAAAACGGCATAATTTTATGTTTATTACTTAATTATGATACAAATAAAATCATACTTATTATAAAACCCAGGTTGTGTGTGTGTTTGTATGTTTATATATTGGATCGGATTTCCTACATTTTTCAACCGATTTCAACAAAACTTCACAGGACTGCGTAAAATTACCTTACGGTGGTTCTGACAGTGCCAAAAATTGGAAACAATTGTTTTTCCATGAAATCAATTTGAAAACATGATTCTGTCGCCAGAATGAAAGGGGGACAACTCATATCGAGTTATACTTATTATAAAACCCAGGTTGTTTGTGTGTGTATGTGTCTGTGTTCGTTTATATATGGGATCGGATTCCTTACATTTTTCAACCAATTTCAACAAAACTTCACTTTTTTTTTCGGCAGGTAGTGTTTCTTATTGTCTTGCACAAGAGAATTTTTTTTTCTTTATTTTTACATTCAGAATGCTTTAAAAATTCCATTTACAAGACAATTGTTTATAATAAAGTTCTATTCAATCGGTAGACTCATAACGATTGAAAACAATGTTTTTGTTTGAGTTTGGGTTTGACCAATTCGAAAAAAAAACAAAACAAAACAACAAAAAACTAATTAAGACATGCGTGTCCGTCAACCTTAAACAATAATCTTTGTCAATTTTATTTTTCAGTCTTTATGATGGTGGATACTTGATCTATCTCTTACTGTTACATCCCTGGGCAACGCTAGGCTCTACTGCTAGTAGATTTATAAATGTCAAAACTTTATTGATAATTTTCAACATGTGCTTTGTCTGTATCCCTGCAAATTTCAAATCTATCCTTAGCGTTGCAAAACACATTTTTAAATATTTCAGGAGTTCTCTCCTACACTGCTAATTGAATGTATTCTTTAAGCTCAGCTAAACTATTGCTTTTTTGGTGATTAACCTTTGTTTTTATGAAACCCCATGCAAAGAGATCCAGGAGTTGGGTCAAGAAAGGCAGGTTCTTGTGTATTCATTATTAATAGGGTTCTGAAAGGGAATGAAAATAAAATTAGAAAAAATATAAAGTTATAAACAAAACTAGAAATTTATACGCTTCTAACATATTAAACATAATGAAGGGAAATAAGTTTTTAAAAAAAATTGTAATAACAAAAACAACAAAAATTATTCCTCAAAATAAAGACCATTTTCCAAGACTTTCTGCCATCGATCTGCAAGCTTTCGGATCTGGTGAAAGTACCATTCAGCTGGCTTCGAATCAAAGAATTCTTGACACGCTTCCTCGGCTTCATCAAACAAGTCGAATCAGCAGCCCTTCAGAAAGTGTTGCATTAGGCAGAAAAGACCGTAATCTGATGGAGCACAGTCAGGACTGTAGGCTGGATGTGGCAGAACCTCAACGCCATCCAGCTCTTCAAACTTGTCTTTGGTCTTCCTGGCGGTGTGTGGCTTGGCATTGTCCTGCTGCATCAAAGCGCGTTTTCGGTTGATCAGAGCCGGGTACTTTTGCTTCAACTTTTCTTAGACCCACTCCAGTTGCTGACAGTAAAGTTCGCACTGATGGCACGACCATTCGGAACCAACTCAAAATGTATGATTCCTTCAAAGTTCCACCAAACGCACAACATGACTTTCTTGCCGAATCGATCTTGTTTTGGAACCGACGGTGTCTCTTGCCCTTTCTGAACCCATCGCTTATAAACGCAAAAAACAGTTAAATAAAAATTTTAATGAAAAAAAATTTTTTCAAAATTAGCAAAATTAACAATAAAGTAAAAAAAACAATTAAAAATTGCATAAAAATTTTTCGCAAGTGTTTACGAACTTTTGGGACAACCTATTAGGTTTTTTGACATTCAACTTAACATCAAAAAACGACATTATTTTTGCACCAACCCAATAATATTATAAATTCTTCAAACTAAGCATTAAATCCATTTATTCATAACCAGAAACTTGTTGAGAATATGCCTTTTTTTCAGGAGAGGTATATCACAAGATCCAAGACCCAAACTAATAATATATTATGTTTTTTATCTTTAAAGACATGCTTATGATTTTATAAATTAGGCACAATAAGAGATTAACAACAATAACTAATCATGAAATAAAACAATTATAATGATATACTGCAACAAAAGTTATGTGGTAGACAGAAATTCTTACGGTAGGTCCCATTAGACACAAGTTTGGTATCCCTCTATCTTTTCTAAAATACCAATATTTTCATGGCAACTGTTCTGATGAGTTTTTTTCACTAGTGAACAAGAATTCATTTTTATAGCAAAATGACAATGCACCACTAAAAAAATATAAAAATACATTTTTATAGTAAAATTACCAACAATACATTTTATCATCTACAAACTATATATCTAAAAAACATACCTTTACTCTGAAAATATAAATTTATATTATTTACATTATTCAAACTATTGTCCTCATCTTTGTCGCCATATTTATTACAACGTTTTCGCCATTGTACACTCCGGCCTTCTTCAGGTGGTTGGAATGTCGAACTGAACCCTTTATTTCACTCACTGGGGTAGACTGTTCTAGTTCCACGTGCCAGTCTACCCCAGTGATCGAAATAAAGGGTTCAGTTCGACATTCCAACCACCTGAAGAAGGTCGGAGCGTACAACAGCTGAAACGTTAAAAGTATGGCAACAAAGATGAGGACAATAGTCCAAATGTAAATAGTGTACATAATACCTCATCTCAGATATATAGACACATATAAATTTATGTGCAAAATATTTAGATTTTGGCATTAAATAACCCACAGAGGATGATATGCCACTGAACAAAAACAACCAACCAACAACCTACCTGTGGAACTCTCTTTGGCTTTCTTGCTTCCTTGCCACCTATAATCTTCAAAAATTTAAATTCAACACCAATCACCATCCTCTGTCTTCCTGAACCCTGTTGTCATTTTCTCATTTCTACTCACTAAAGCCTTTTCATTCTCTTTTGCTCCCTATAACTTACTGGGTCCTTGTGGTATTATTGCCTTGCTTGGGGTGAAATGATTACAAAAAAAGAAAATATCTGTCTATATTTCTCAGATGAGGTATTATGTACATTATTCGGACTATTGTCCTCATCTTTGTTGCCATGTTTATTGCAACAATTATCCACTGTGCCATGTGTCCTCAAGGACACATGGCACAGTAGATAAAGGTGTTGGTTAGATCCAGTGACAGGACCGAAAGAGTGTGAGTTCAATACCTGGTTAAGGTAGAACTTTCAGAGGGAAAATTAACAAGAGATAACTGATAACTGACATCCATTAAACATGGCACGTGAAACTTGAACAGTCTACCCCAGTGAGCGAAATAAAGGGTTCAGTTTGACATTCCAACCACCTGAAGAAGGCTGGAGCGTACAACGGCCGAAACATAATAAACATGGCGACAAAGATTAGGACAATAGTCCGAATAATGTAAATAATGTAGAAAGAAAATAGATTAATAACAAAATAGAACAATTTTATCAAGACATAGTAAGGAAAGACCCAATTTACTAAGAGCTACAAAGGACAAGAAATTATGGAGAGCCATGATCGCCAAGCATAGATAAATAAAAGACATCATAAGGAAATACCAAATTTATTAAGAGCTACAAAGAACAGGAAGTTGTGGAAATCTATGATTGCCAAGTTTGGATAAATAAGACATAATGAAAATCATGTATCGGAGAAATGATTCTTTCTAATGTAGATCTTAGCAAATCTTTTTGATTAAGCAAAGCCATCTGCAGTTTCTCTTTGGCATATCCAAATTGCCAGCATCATTAATCTTGTGTTTTTGAGACCATTATTAAGTACAATTTAGGAATTGTTTGTTTATAGGTTTGTATGTGGGTAACTAAAACTGAAGATAAAACCATTAGTCCCTTGACTGCTTTAATCTGGCATTGTCATGTCTGTCCACTTTCAACAGCATGATAGTCTTGCAGAAGTTGTTATGCTGTGTGACATAGCCAAATCATATCATCCAATGCTTAATAGTGCTGAGGAGAGATTCTTGTCTGCCCACAAGACTTTTGACCTTTCTCTGTACATAATCGTTGGTTTTGTGCTCCCAGTAGGATATATACAATCAGTGATTTATAGAGCTTGAACTTAGTAAGTACAATTTATGGGTTTAGCTGAAACTAAGTAACTAAAACTGAAAATAAAAATTAATCATTGTATTCCAAACGGTATAAGGGACATATTATTAAACACTTTGCTTATAAAATGACTATCATTAACACAGCTTACAGTCGCATCACACTGAAACACTGGTTCTCATACAATCAGCAAAGTTAAGCAACATCAAGCCTGGTCAGTACCTAGGTGGGTGACCACTTGGAAATACTAGGTACTGTAAGCTTTGGTGTGCATGTGGTATAATGGATAACAACTTGGAATTTGAAATCTGAGAGCTGAGTTCCAATTCCAGTTGGGTTCATTATATTCACTTACATGCAAATACCCTTGGGAAAGATATGAATCCATCTCCTTCCCCTCCAACTATGGGTTAACTAGTAAAACTTTATCACTGAATCATTATTATCCCCAAAAACTTCTGACAATCTAAAAATATTTTCTAGCTTTAAATAACCTGCAAAAGGTTGATAAACTGTAAAAACAAATAAAAAAAAAATGAAAAAGCAAAAAATATAGTCTGTATTAGTGATATATATTTTTCTCTATTTTATTATATGACTGGGGTTGAATTTTGTCAGCTGATGATGCTGGTTTTGAAAGTCAAGTCTACAACAATTCTGTGTGCAAAACTCCACACCTAAATCTTCTTGCTCGTCAAAGTGTCGTTTTCAATAAGGCTTTTACTTCAGTAAGCAGTTGTTCTCCAAGTAGGTGAGTTGGTTGTTTTATATTCATTTTTTTTTAATACCTAAATGTTTCTAATTAGGTAAGCATGAAAATATAGAAGACAGGGAACATTTCATACACGCACACGCACACATATGTATTTATATGTATGAGATTAATACAAATATAAAATTTGTCACTAACTGATTGGTATTATATTCAGCCCCTTGACTCTAGAGATTTGTATACAAACCATTATTGTAATCATTTGTTCCACTCATCAGGAGATATCAGCAATATATATACATACATATATATATATATATATATATATATATATATATATATATGTGTGTGTGTGTGTAAAATAGGATATAGAATCACAACAAAGTTTTTAAGAAATTTGACAAATAGAAAATGTTTTATTGAAACTACTGTAATTTCTCAAAAACAATGAACACTCCAAAAAATGCTCCAAATATTAAGAAATATAAATTTTGTCAAAAAAACAAAAAACAAAAAAATAATTACAGACATTTTCTTGACCTTGATATTAAGTATAAAATTGAAACTAAGCAACTAAAATAATGTGAAAAATTACTATGCGGTTTTCCCAATAAATATAACATTTTATTTGATGCTTTCTGGTGTTCCCATTTTTACTGCTGGTAGCAACAGGAAAAAAACCAGAGTTGGAACTTATACTAAAATGAATTCTGGAATCTTGGGATTCCGTCAGTTAGGATGTCATAAAGAGCGGTTTCAAGAAATGTTGTCTGAGGAATCCTTAAAATAATCAAATGTAATTAAATATAATTTTAATGAAACGTTTTCTGTTTGTCATATTTCTTTTTATGTATGTATATATATATATATATATATATATATATATATATATATATATATATATATATATATATATATAAAAAGAAGAGAAGAGGTGCCGCTAATTTTTTTTGGTTGTAATGTGGATTTATTTAGAAAAAATATTATGCTTTGTTTTACATATATTTTACGACACGTGTTTCTGGTCTCATGACCATCTTCAGGTAAAAGTGGAGATTTCACATATTATTAAAAATAATTTTTCCTTATGTTCAATGTTAAATATTCTCGATATAAGACATTCTCTGTTTGTGTGTTGGTAATCGGAATTTCCTTCTATACACACACACACACACACATATATATGTGTGTGTATATATATATATATATATATATATGATAAAATAAAGAACAATTAAAAATGTTTATCAATCTAACATGAATTCTTTTTTCTTTTTCTCCATATCTCATTTTCTGATGAAGCTTTAATAAAAGTGAAACATGTTAGGCTGATAAACATTTCCTATTTGTTCTTTATTTTATCATTCTGGCAGATTCCGATCCATCTTTGATCTATATTTGATTCCATCTCTATCTATCTATCTATCTATCTATCTATCTATATATATATATATATATATATATATATATATATATAGAGAGAGAGAGAGAGACAAAACTTTTCTTAGCTAATGTGTTTCATCCTCTGATGGACTTTATCAAGCCAAATATACAGTGCTGTTCAATAAAAGTGACTCATCTGATTTATTTTTTTTTACTAAAAATATTTTTTGTCTATTGTTTTTGGGGTTAAAATAATTTTACTAATATAAATACCCCTTCCTGACCACCTAGGAAAAAAGTTTATTCACCCTAAGGTATTCTATTGATAATTATAATTTCGGGTATAAATGATGTTAGTATAAAAATAAAGGACTGTCAAGGTGCATAAAGAAAAATATAAACATGTGAATGACGGACTTCGACAACGGATACGGAGAGAATATTTTATTCGACTCCTCGCTAACTACACAGTATAAACAAAACATGGCCGCCGCCCCGACTTCCGACCGGAAATCCTTTCCCCGGCAGGGAGAGTTTTCAGGGGAGATAGCTCACATAGATTAACAGTTCTTCCCCTCTTTTCTCTTCTTTTCAGTTTGGAATCATCTTATCTGCAAAAGAAAAAAAGGGGCCGGGTATTTACATTATACAGATGATTCCTTTGGTTCGGATATGAACCCAAGGATCTTGAATGATGGCACTCCTTTCTTTGTCAAGGAGTCAGCAATTTGTACATCAGTTGATATCCAAGAGATCTCTGCAATTTCCTTTCTGTCAATCATTTCTCTCAAAATAGCCATCTCTATGCGAAGTCTCTTATCCAAAATTTGGGTTGAGGAATGTACAGAATCATAGAGACAGGAATTGTCTGTTTTGCAGAAGATCTTAATGGTGTTAGTATCATCGTTCAATTGTAGTATTTCTAACAAAAGTTTCCGATAAAAATACAGGCTTCTGCCATGTCAACCATGGCTAAAGTTTCAGCAGCTAAAGTACTTTTGACAACTCTTCTAATACGCTTAGACTGCCAGGCAATGGGCATATACTTGTCATTGCTTCCAACTAAAAAAAAAAGTATATAGCCTCCCTGTGAACCTCCATCTGTTAAATTGCCAAAAGAAGCATCACTGTATGCAACAATTTTTAGGTGCTCAAGGTTCCCTAAGTCTGGAATATCTATATGAGATTTCTCCTTTTTGCTTTTTTTACCACCCTGTTAGCATGTTTTAAACATTCTACATTTTCTTGTTTTAGTATCGAGCTTAACTCACTAACATCATAACTAAGATCAGGTCTGGTTTGGGTGGCTAACCAATTAAGTTGTCCGATCAGTTGCCTGGTTTCAGTAACCTCTGTTGAAGATATTGCATCTTTCAAATTTCTGCCTGGTTCTAGTGGGATACACCTTAGCTTTTTTTGACATATTCGTCCTGTCCAAGTTTAACATCATTCCCAGTTTTCTTTATGCTTAATCCTATATACTGGAACTCAGCAACTTCCTCAGATTTGATCCTAAACAAGTGACGAATCCTGTCCATGACTCTGCTCTGAAAAATCTCCGAGCCTGCAAAGCAAAAAAAAATCATCAACATGAGTAGCCATAATACCATGCAGTTTGTTTCCAAAGTTCCATGTAAATATGGCTTGATCATATATTTTGAAACCACTGCTCCTGACTTCAACAATTCCTCTTTGAGTGTCAGGTACCAGGACCTTGATGCATCAGTCAAACCATATACACATTTGGAGAGTTTCCAAATATATCCTGGAGGTACCTTGGCTTCTTTGGGAGGATGCAAATAGATCAATCGGTCCAACTCTTTGCTCTGTAAAAATGCTGTTTTATGTCCATTGACTTGCACACCCAATGGTTAGATGCCATTATAGCCAAAGGCTATCGTAGACTTTCTTTAGAGCATGTTGGAGAATCATTTCTTATATTGCCCGCATCCCTTTCCTGAAAGCCTCTCGCCACAAGTCTAGCTTTATAGATCTGTTTGCCATTGACATTTTTATTAGTATAAACCCATCTTGTGGATATTTTGCATTGGCCTTGGTCAGGCACTTGGGTGTAAACTTTATTTTCAACCCAGCTTTGGAGTTCGTTTTCTCTTGCCATTTCCAGGTCGTGATTAGAAGAAGAAATCATAATGTTTTCCTCATCACTAGAGGTAGCTTCATCCTTATTTATTGGTCTGGCTTCATTTTCTTTCCATTCCAATACTCCATGATTGAAGTCTAGCCAGAAGGGTTCACCTTGTTCCATAGCCACATTCATTAAATGCTTGTTTTTACCTGTAGCTTTGCCTGCCCTACTTATGACGTTCAATGTCCGCCATTCGAATCATCATCATTGGCAAGTTTGCATTTAATGGATTGTCCTGGCTTGGGAAGCGTAATTGTTTTGTGAATTGGATTTTGCTTTGGTAGTACGTGTGCCTCTCTCACAGTCTGATGTTGTGCAACATGATCATTCAGAGTTCCTGGTTCTTCAGCAACATCGTTGGTCAGACATTGATAAGTTTGAAGATCCTTCAGGCTCACTTTGTGAAGTGGTGGATTCACTTATAGCCTCACTTTCAGAGGAACTTTGATATGTTTCTGGGTGAGACACGAGGCGACATGGGTGCACTCTTACATATGTGCCCCCATGTTTAACAAGTACCTGCTTGTGCTCCCACCCTATGACAGTTCCTGGACCGAGCCATCTATCACAGAAATTTCTCTTATAGAAAACAACATCACCATTTTTGTAGGATTGTGTTGTACTAGTCCTAACTTGATGACTTAAATGCACGTCTTAATTTTTTTCCAAGACTCACACATAATAAATTGTTTTCTAGCTGCATGCATGGCATTGAGGTTACTGGCAACTATCTCACTGGTAGAGACACCTTCTAATGCAGGGAGTTTATCATTCAAAAAAGGAGGGCAGATTGGGATTCCTACCAAAAACAAGCTGATTGGGGCTGAATCCGTGAGCACTGTGAAGTGTATTCTTTGCACTTATAGCCCATGCTAGTGCTATCTCAAAACTACAACTTGTGTCCTCTACAGTCTTTTTGACCATTTCTCCCAATATCCCATTGTGTCGTTCATTTAAGCCATTACTCCATGGACTTTCAGCAGCAGTGGTAATACGCACAACAATATTTAAATTCTGTGCCATGTCACGGAATGATTCGTTATCAAATTCCCTACCATTATCAGTTAAGATAGATCCAGGAGTCCCAAAATACGCTATCCAGTGTTTAAATATAGCACTGATGATGTCCGATCTTTCTTTACTTGGAATCCTAACGCCGACACTGTATCTGGTAGCATGGTCAATCAAGTGCAGTACCTTGTTACCATTAATCTCTTTAATATCCATAGCAACAGTTTCATTAAATAAGATCCTAATGGGAATCCAACAATAGGTCTAGGTTCGTTTTTTTTATAGCGAATACACACTTCACAGGAATTTGGAAGTGCTTGTAAGATTTTCATAAATTCAGGATCTCTTATTCCAGCATTTCTAACTAAATCACATAATTTCTTACTACTGGGATGACTAAATTGTCTATGTAATTTGGTTGCAACTTTCACTTTTTCTGATTTGTTTTTAGAGGAGATTTCTTTAACAAGAAGAATGTGTTTGAGCTTACCTCTATCTG